TGCCATCATTGCACATCGATGCTACTTATAGACTGCAATGCCTATTGCATACAGTGGTGGTCCCAGTCCCATCGTTGCACCGAAATCCGAACATAGAACTCACAAGTACTGCCATATGAAGTTGCAATTGCACCAACCGTCGTCGCATTGTCATCATCGCTGAAGCGATGACTACAGCACTACCTACCAAAACTTCCACCACCGCTTTAGCATTAGCGCACACGATCTGAAGCAACACTCATATCATGGTCGGAGATTCTCTTCTAATGCTAGCGCCACCACTATTGAGAGAGAAGAGATATTAGGAAAAAGAAAAGATGTTGTGATGTGATCCAAGAGTCGAGCCCGACAAACACAAGTGCAGAACGAGACCCGTTGATAATCGAAGGCGGACCGATTACGCGTTCGAGAGCAAAGCGGGTGAAACAAGCAACGAGGTTGCTAGTTCAATCAACTATTGATGGGATGACGTTTGGGATGCAAAACAAGGAAACTTTCATGTTCTGGTCAAGAGTCGAATCAAAGTGGATCAACTCAATACAAGGGAACAAAGATGAAGGCTGAATGAGCAACCATGCGATCGCATGGTTGTAATCTGCATACGGCACACAGCCATGCAGGGAATTCCAGGTGGCAGTGCAATTGTGCCATGCGGTCGTAGCCCTTAACACCATGCGGTTGCATGGTACAAATTTTGGGCGAAAGTTTCCTTTTTCCGAATTTTCCTTATTTTGTTAGATTTTTAATTTTTGGAAGATTCTTGTAATCTTTGACTTATGATTCTCGAAATTTTACTAGATTTTAGGGTTTTGAGCAATTAGTATAAATAGGATATATCTCCTTCATTGTGATTTTTACAAGACACTTATACATAATTTGAGAGAATTTTAATAGAGAGACTATTATGCTTTCTTCTTCATTCTTCATTGATCGATTGGAACTTATCAAGGATTGTAATTCTTGTGGCATTCTATAACTCGGGTGCAAATCTTGGATTGTGTACTCAGGGGATCCTTCAAAGTAACGTTTTTGCTAGTTTTGTTGGTTTACTAATTTAGGGTTCAATCTCCAAACCTCTAATTTGGCTTTTATGGGTTATGGAACAATCTTGTTGTGGGTTTAATAGTCAACGCTGCTATGGGATTCGCATAAGTTGGTATCAGAGCGTAGGCTCCAATTAACATGGTATATCTTTTGTTTTCTTCGTTGAGTCTAGTTTTTAATTTTCAGCGTTTTTGTTAATTTTATTTCTTCGTTCTTTGTTCTTGGGTCATTTTTGTTCAATTTGTTGGTGGTTAACTTTTGTTATTGTTTTTGAATAAAAAAAGGAAAAGAAAGAAACCGATGAAAAAAAGAAACCGAGAAAAAGGCAACCAAAAAAAGAAACTATATTGTTATTTTGTTCAATTGCTACCAACATATTTTAATTCAATTCTCGAGTTAATTTCAACATTGAGTCAATTACTTTGCAAGTCTTTAGTCTCCATTAAATTAGTCGAGTCACGTTATTGTTTTTATCAATTTACGTTCCCTACTAGAGTTTCTTAATTCCATTACAAATTCTTTGAGTCTTTTTGGGTTTTACAATTTCTGATTTATATTCGGGTTAGAATTCCATGGGTTATTAAATCCTTTAAGTTCATTATTGATCTTTGGAGCGCTTGGAAGAAAGCACCGAGTGGTAAAAGGTAGAGTGGTGAGTTTAATAGAGGGAAAAAGCCAAAATTTGTGTGATTTTTGAGTGAAAATCGGTAAGCTAGAAAATTTATAGTTTTAGGATGTCAGAAAGAGAAGATTCAAATTTGAGCCAATATAGCAATCCCAACAATTTTTTTGATGATATGATACGACGTTTTGAAAGGGTGCTGGAAGATTTAAAGGAAAAAGTAGATACGCAGGCAGCTTGGATGGCACAAATAGGTCCAGCAATTGTTAATCTTAGTAAAGGGCAACCAGTTGAGGGGTCGAATGCTAGAGGATCGGATAGGCGAGAACTTTGGGAGGTAAGTCGTGAGGAGTATGATAGTGATATGCATGATTATGAGGCCAATGACGTTGACTTGGAAAAAAGAGAAATATGGGTGATAGGATAGAAAGGCAGGGTAGGCATAATGTTGGAGTTGATGTAGATGGTAATTTGGGAAATATTAAAATAATGATACTGCAATTTAAGTAGAAAAGTGACCGGGAGGCGTACTTAGAATGGGAAAGGAAGGTTGAATTGATTTTTGAGTGTCACAACTATTTGGAACAGAAAAAGGTGAAATTAGCGATTCTCGAATTATTGGCTATGCAATATCTTGGTGGGATCAGGTGGTTACTTTAGGCATGGAGGGAGACCAATTACTTATTGGGATGAGTTGCAGACGTTAATGAGAAAACAATTTGTTCCTAATCACTATTATAGTGAGATCCATGAAAGGTTGCAAAGCTTGTATCAAGGGTCAAAGAGTGTAGAAGATTACCATAAGGAAATGGAGATGCTTATGATTAGGGCGATGTAGTAGAGGATCGGGAAGCTACTATGTTACAATTCTTAAATGGGTTAAATAGTGAGATTACTAATGCAGTTGAATTGCAGTACTATGTAGAATTAGAGGATACGTTGCACGTTTCCATGAAGATGGAGAGGCAATTGAAGAGCAAGGGGACAACTAGGCAACCAATAGGTATTTTAGGTTCTAATTCATCTTGGAAACCAATGTGGGATAATAACAAAGGTGATAGGGCTGTACCTAAAGGTAGGAATGATTGGCAAAGGGGAAAAGACGAAAGCGCTTGCAAAATAATACTAAAATCGGAGTCGCAACCATCAAGAAGTAGAGACATCAAGTGCTTTAGATGTTTGGGGTTGGGGCACATCGCTTCGCAATGCCCAAATAAGAGGGCAATGGTGTTGTGGGATAAGAGAGAGGTAAGCAAAAGTGAAGGTGATTATGATGACATGCAGGCCTTGGAAGAGGTTAGTGATGGGGAAAATTTTGAAGGAGCCATTGGGGATTTACTTGCTGAAAGGAGAGATCTTACTACTCACATTAAGACGGATGACTTGGAGTTGCAACGGAAAAACATCTTCCACACTCGATGCCACGTGAAAAATATGGTATGTTGTGTAATTATTGATAGTGGTAGTTGCACAAATGTAGCTAGCGTAGAATTTGTAGAAAAGTTAAATTTAACATTGTTGAAGCATCCTAGGCCATATAAATTGCAATGGCTAAATGAAATTGGAGAAGTTAGGGTCAATAAAATGATGTTAATAAATATATCAATTGGTAGTTATCAGGACGAAGTAATATGTGATGTAGTACCGATACAAGCAGCGCATATCTTATTGGGGAGACCATGGCAATATGATAGGAAAGCTATGCATGATAGGTATAGAAATCGCTACAGTTTCTTCGAGGATGGTAGGACTATCACTCTTGTACCATTAACACTGACGCAAGTCCATGAAGACCAAATCAAGTTAAGGAATGAGGAAGAGAGGAGAGTGAGTTGAAAAAAGGGGAGAACTGTATAAACAAGAAAAATAGAGTGAAAATTGTAAGATCGTGAGCGAGAGAGAAAATTGTGAGGTGGCTATTAGAGAGAAAAAGAGAGAAGAGCCATAAGATAGAAAAGAAAGAGAGTCTTTCGAGAGAAAAGAAAAATCATGAGAGAATTTCTTTGCAAAAGAGAGTGAGTTGAGGAGGGTAATAATCGAGAGGAGAGAGATGTTTTTATTGTTGTACAAGAAAACACTCCTCCATTATGAGGAAGCTAACACCACCTCTCTAGTTTGGCTAAAATTGTTTTGCAGGAATTCCAAGACGTATTCTCGAAGGAAATACCGAGTGGATTGCCACCCATTCAGTGAATTGAACATCAAATTGAGTTCATACCTAGAGCAGTTATTCCGAATCAACTAGCTTATCGGAGTAATCTTGAGGAGACCAAGGAGCTTCAGAGGCAAGTGGAGGAGTTGATGGGAAAAGGCTATGTTCGGGAAAGCTTGAGTCCGTGTGCCGTTCCAGTGTTGTTGGTACCAAAGAAATATGGGACATGACGAATGTGCGTGGATTGCAAAGCCATCAACAATATTACGATAAAGTATCGTCACCCTATTCCTAGGTCAGATGATCTGTTAGATGAGTTGTATGGTGCATATGCTTTTAGTAAGATAGACCTTAAAAGTGGGTACCATCAAATTTGTGTGAGAGAAGGTGATGAATGGAAAACGGCATTTAAAACTAAATATGGTATATATGAATGGTTAGTTATACCTTTTGGACGCACAAATGCATCGAGCACTTTTATGTGCTTAATGAACCATGTTTTACGTGCTTTCATTGGAAAAATTTGTTGTAGTATACTTTGATGATATCTTAATCTATAACAAAAATCTTTATGAGCATGTGGGATATTTACGTTGTGTGCTGGTAGTATTAAGAAAGGAACAATTGTATGCTAACTTAAAAAAGTGTACATTTTGCATGAAAAAGCTATTAAAGTAGACGATGAGAAAATTAAAGCTATTAAAGATTGGCCTACATCTAAAAGCATAACTGAAGTTAGGAGTTTCCATGGATTGGCTAGTTTTTATAGGAGATTTGTAAAAAAACTTTAACACAATCACTACATCACTTACAGAGGTAGTTAAGAAAAATGTGGATTTTCGTTGGAGCGATGAACGGGAATATGAATTCAACACTATTAAGCAATGTTCTAAATAGCGTAATGCGTGGTGATGCTCGACCCCAAGCTAAGGGCTATGCGAGATTAAGCGAGGCAAATGCGTAAAAAAGTGTTAAAAAGAATTTTCTTATTTTAATATTATTTTTAATTTTTAATCAATAAAAAATTTATTTAATAATTATTAATTATACATACTAAACATCCAAAATAGATTTATAAAAACTTCATAAATTTTTTTCAAAATTTTCAACAAAAAGATAAGTTCCAAATTTAAACAAAAGTAGCATAAGAACTTAAATCCTATCCAACTCTTTATCAGACTCCTATTCAATATCATCATCTTCATCTAATTCATCCACCGTGTCGTCTGATACAAAATCCTCCTCGTCAAGCTCCCTCATATCATTCTGAGCATTTCTATCTCTTGATGAAGGTTGTAAGATTTTATTTTCCACCCAATCATACTCCTCCTCACAACCCTCAACAATCCAAGATTGTGCATTAGTTGCATCACTTTCTAATAGAGTCTCTATTTTGCCCTTTTTCTTCTTCATGTTTGCCAACCTTGCATTAAATTGGACATAAATCAGATTGTTTATCTTGGTAGTGTCAAGTCTATTCATCGCTCATTAGTAAGTAAAATGTAACAACCTAATAAATACTTACCCCTTCAAAAGAACTCCAATTTCTTTCACAACCGAATGAACTAGTAGTCAAACCAAGTATCCTTTTTGCCACGGTCTTCAAATTGGGTGTTTCATTCCCATAAAAATCCCACCAACTCACTAATAAATGAAAGTAAAAAGTAAGTTATTTAATATTTATAAAATCAGATATAAATTATTGATATGAGAGAGAGTAATATGTTAACATACCCGGTTTATAATTTTCATCATTGTTCTCACATGCACTTATTGCAAGCCTCCTTCCAAATGAACCTTCCTTTTGGACATATCTTTGCAACTCAATATTTATCACATGATGTTGCATTTGATCATTAGGAAAGAATTTCTCAACACAAGCAATCAAATTATTTATCATGAATGAATCATCTTTGATACATGGATTCTTGAAGAAATAGAATGGATTCAAAAAATAAGCCGTTGTATGAAGTGGACTATCAAGGCGACCTTTACTTTTAACATCAATAATGTCCAAGATTGGCCTATAATCACATTCCCTCTTCAATATGTTCGCAATGTCATCCTTTGCCTTTAGTAGCTCTCCATAAACAAAGCCTATTGAAGGCTTTTCTTCCCCATCAACAAGTCTAAGAACTTTCAATAGTGGAGTGAATACCTTCAAACACAAGTCTATCATGTTCCAAAAATCGTTCGGAACAATAATATCAAATGCCTCTTTTCCCTTTTTAGACTTAGACCATTTCATGTTATCCCATTCATTGCTAGTCATCATACTTCTCAACTCTTGTTTTTTATCAAGCAAGCTTTGCAATGTCAAGAACGAGGATGCAAATATAGTGACTCCTGGCCTAACTATCTCTCTTTTTGTGAACTTTCTCATCAATGCCAAAGTCTTGTGATGTGCATAAATGAAAATAGTGAATGATTTTCCCTTGTTAATCACTCCCTTGAAGTTGGGAAGTTTAGAGATTCCTTCAAGCATAAGGTTTAAAGTGTGAGTGGCACATGATGTCCAAAATATGTTAGGCCTTTGTAATTCTAACAATTTTGCGGTGGCCATATTATTGGAAGCAGTATCGGTTATAACTTGAACCACATTTTCAACCCCAACCTCTTTAATATAATCATTGACATAGTCAAATATATATTGACCTGTATGAGCATCATTTGAAGCTTCCTTTGAAGAAATAAATGTGGTCCCCAATTTACAATTAACACAAAAATTCATGATGCTTCTTCTTTTTCTATCACTCCAAGCATCAGTTATGATTGAACACCATTATTTTCCACTCTTCTTCTTGCTTCTTTAAAGTTTCTTTTGTCCTCTCCACCTCTCCCTTCAATAGTGGCTCCCTTAATTGGTACTGGAAAGGAGGAATGTAACTCGGTCCATATTGACCAAGAGCTTCAACAAATAATTTAAAACTATCATTATCAATGGCATTGGAAGGAACTCCGGCTTCATAAATCCACCTTGCTAAATATCAATGAACCTCTAATAACCTTTTTTTAGCTATTGCATCATTCATATTTTGTTGTCACAATTTCTTATTTGAACTCATGAAGTATCATTGACATTGATAGACCTTGCAAATTGATCCATAGGTCCCACATTAATAGGCCTTTTCCTAATCCCTCGTTCAATAATAGCAATTTCATCTTCTTCCTCACCTATTGTAGGCAAAGATATATTCACATCTTCCCTCAACTTAGCATCATTCAATATCTTCTCTATTTTTTTAGACTTTGTCCCTTGAATTGCCTCAACACACTTAGCTTTTTGTTCTTGACTTGCTTTAGGACATGATGCCACACCTCTTTCCTTTATCCCTGCTATGTGAAATTTATGCCTAGAAATTCCTCCCTTAGTAACCTTATCACATAATATGCATTCCACATTATTGAGATTGGATGTATCTACCAAAATCGTGGTTTCCTATCCAACATTTTCGGAATCCCTTTTGAGTTTACTAGCTTTTGATATGGTTGAAGAATCACTTTCTTCCATTGGTTCCTAAAAAATAGAAACCATATAAAATTTATAAAAATTGGGGTTCAATGTACTAAAAATTCATGAATCAATTCAATACTATAATGACCACAATTCACAAAAACACTAACAAATTCATGACACGTTTATCCACCTACCAATCCCATTTGATATGGAAAAAGAATTGGTAAAAATTAAAATTGATAGTGTACAGCAAACGGAAAACCCCACTGTGACTCCATTAACTCATTAGCCAGAACTTCATTAACTCTCTAGTCACTAGAGAAAACCCCACTATCTCTTCCATAATTCCATTAACTCATTAGCTACAGTGAAAATCAAGTACAATTAACATACAAAAAGTTTGTGTGCTAGCCCACAATTCTGTCACTCCCACCGTCCCACTTCAAGAACTCGCCCCCAACCTCTACTGACCTAGGTCTCTCTCTCTCTTTTCTCTCTCACACAAATGGGCCATAGCTATCAATTCTCAATTCTTCGATGTCCATCTTGATTGTAATGATTCATTCTAATTCCACACTAATATTTCAATTTGAAGATATTTTTGCCTCAAAGAAAATAAAAAAATCTACTAATTCTTCAACAAACAATGGTTTCCCATTTTTCGACAGACTTACCAGCATGTAGAAACTGAAAATTGCTTGTTGAAGTCGACCGACCAAGCAAGCAACTGTTGGAAGAGAGTACCGAGATGTTGGAGAGGAATTTTTGGGAGCTTCAGCCTTCAGTCGTCTCTTCTATTCTAGTGCTCTGAAAATTGGGCAAGTAAATGGTAATTCATTGAGTTTAAACTTTAAAAGAAGCGTAATTTTTTTAACAAAAAAAATGATAATGTGCGCCTTGACGCAATAATGAGCGCCAAGGCGTGAAATAATAATTTTTTAATAAAAAAATGATAATGCACGCCTTGGCGCAATTATGTGCGCCAAGGCGTGAAATAGCGATCAACACAAAACGTTGACCGCTAAATTACATGCCTTGACCCTTTGCTTAGCATTTTGCTTCCGCGTCGCACCTAGATGCGCCTTTTAGAACACTGCTATTAAGGATAAATTGTGTAAAACACCTGTTTTAGCGTTACTTTATTATAACAAAACTTTTAAGATTGAGTGTGATGCATCAGGGATAGGTATTGAAGCAGTTTTAATGCAGGACAAAAGATCGATAGCCTATTTTAGTGAGAAGTTAAGTGGAACTGCATTGAATTATCCAACATACGATAAGGAGCTATATTCGCTTATTCAGGCATGGGAGATTTAGCAGCATTATTTATGACCAAAGGAATTTGTTATTTACACTAATCACGAGTCATTGAAACACTTACGGGGTCAAGAAAAGTTGAACAAGAGGCATGCCAGATGGATGGAGTTTATTGAAACATATCCATACGTCATCAAATATAAGCAAGGTAAAGAAAACATAGTGGCATATGCGTTGTCTCGAAGGTATACATTGCTAACTTTTCTTGGTTCTAAATTGTTTGGTTTTGAACACATTAAGGCATTGTATGAAAATGATGTAGGTTTTTTTGAAATTTATGCTTCTTGTGATAAAAGGGCTATTGACAAATTCTTTAAACATGAGGGTCATTTATTTCGGGAAAATAAATTGTGCGTACCTAATTGTTCAATACGAGAGTTATTGGTGGGAGAGGCTTATAGTGGTGGACTTATGGGGTACTTTGGGATACAAAAGACCTTAGAGATGTTAGGTGAGCATTTCTATTGGCCTAAGATGAAAAGGGATGTTGAAAGAGTTTGTAGTCGATGTATAACTTGCAAACGTGCTAAGTCTCGAGTTTTACCTCAAGAACTATACACACCATTACCTATACCTAGTGAGCCTTGGGTTGATATTTCAATGAATTTTGTTTTGGGTTTACCTAGGACTAAGAAAGGACGGGATTTAATTTTTGTGGTGGTAGATAGTTTGGTAAAATGACGCACTTTATACCATGTCACAAAACCAACAATGCCACACATATAGTTGGCTTGTTCTTTAAGGAAGTAGTACGTGTGCATGGGATTCCAAAGAGTATAGTATTGGACAGGGACAATAAATTTTTAAGTCACTTTTGGCGAGTTTTGTGGGGTAAGTTAGGCACAAAATTGTTATTTTCTACAACCTGTCACCCACAAACCGATGGACAAACTGAAGTAGTCAATAGGACGATGATTCAATTGTTGCATACGGTAATTAACGAGAACTTGAAAAATTGGGAAGATTCTTTACCTTTCATTGAATTTGCTTATAATCGTGCTACTCATTCTACTACTTCGTTCACTCCGTTTGAAATTGTTTATGATTTTAATCAACTAACACCGTTAGATTTAATTCCATTACCTGTGAATGAATGAGGTAGTCTAGATGGTAAAAAGAAAGTAGAATTGGTGAAAACACTTCATGAGAAGGTAAAGTTGCAGATCGAAAACAAGAGCAAGCTTGTTGCGTCACAGGCAAACAAAGGGAGAAAAGGCGTGACATTTGAACCAGGAAATTGGGTTTGGGTGCACTTCAGGAAGGAGCATTTTTCGGATCAAAGGAAATCAACTCTTCAGCCACGAGGAGATGGTCCATTTCAAGTCATCGAGAAGATCAACGACAATGCTTACAAGCTAGATCTTCCAGGTGAGTATAATGTTTCAGTAACTTTTAATGTATCTGATCTCTCTCTCTCTCTTTCTCTTTGATGCAGGTTCAGATTCAAGGATGAATCCTTTTGAAGAGGGAGGGGATGATGTGATCCAGGAGTCGAGCTCGACAAAGATAAGTGCAGAACGAGACCCGTTGATAATCGAAGGTAGACCAATGACGTGATCGAGAACAAAGCGAGTGAAATAAGCGATGGGGTGCTAGTTCAATCAACTGTTGATGGGACGATGTTTGGGATGCAACACGAGGCAACTTTCATGTTCGGGTCGAGAGTCGAATCAAAGAGAATCAACTCAATACAAGCGGATGAAGATGGAGGCCGAATGAGCAACCATGCGGTTGCATGGTTGTAATGTGCATGCGGCCCACGCACCCATGTAGGGAATTCCAGGTGGCAATGGAATTGTGCCATGAGGTCATAGCCTTAACACCATATGGTCGCATGGTAAAAATTTTGGGTGAAAGTTTCCTTTTTCCAGATTTTCCTTATTTTGTTAAATTTTTAAGTTTTGTAAGATTCTTGTTTCTTTGACTTATAATTCTCGAAATTTTACTTGATTTTGTTACTTTGACTTATAATTCTCAAAATTTTACTAGATTTTAGGGTTTTTGGCAATTAGTATAAATAGGATATATCTCCTTCATTGTGATTTTTTTACAAGACATTTTATACATTATTTGAGAGAATTTTAATAGAGAGACTATTGTGCTTTCTTCTTCATTCTTCATTGATCGATTGGAACTTATTAAGGATTATAATTCTTGTGGTGTTCTATAACTCGGGTACGAGTCTTGAATTGTGTAATCAAGGGGTCCTTCACGCAACATTCTTGCTTGGTTTGTTGGTTCACTAGTTTGGGGCTCAATCTCTAAACCTCTAATTTGGCTTTTCTGGGTTGTGGAACAATCTTGCTGTGGGTTTCGTAGTCAACGCTGCTATGGGGTTCGCATCACGTTTCCCCTACTATCACTGCATTTGTTTAGAGAAAGAGAATAGAGATGGGGAAGTGGGCTGAAATTAGGGTTTGAAATTGGTGGATATATTTATTAATACCTGATTTATGAATAATAAAATTGACCCCTTGATTTTTGAATTCTAATCTATAAACACTTGGAATTTTGTAATTTCCTCAATTCAAAGCCTAGTTTAGAGAGGTTAAAACAATACATAGCCAAACCACCAATTATCCCTCAAAAAATCCTCCAAATAATAAATGAGTTAAGAGACAATATTGACATCTAGAAAGGGATAAATACTACTATAACTTACCTACCTGCTTGTTTTTATGAAATAGAACGTGTAGTTCAATATATATTGAGAAGTATGCATGGTAAATAATGACTTGGACAAGGTCGCAGAATTCGTTACCGCACGAAACACATCATCACCTTTTACTTCATGTGCCTGCCATGACAAATTACAAACTTTAGTTAATGTGATAATTAATACAAATTATCTCAGTTGGGTTGTGCAACCAATAGTTACGTATACATGCTTAGGTTTTCCCTCCTATATGATCAAGTAAACAATCTGACATGGAAAGTAACAGAAAAGGAAGAAAATGTAAGATAAAAGTTTCATGAACTCATTGGAACAAAGAAATCAACACAGGGAGAAACTAAATGAACTGACAAAGAATGACACAGAAAGAAATCAACAGATAAGTCAATCTTGTTGAATTCAAATTAGAGCTCCAAGAACTCTGCTTCATACCTCCAGCCAAATAGAAATGGTCTCGATTCCAATAAAGAGGCGTTGGCCATGAAGATGGTGTCTCCGTTCTTCACAGCCTGCAAAAGAGTTTAAATTAATGTAGCATCTGATTAATTGCTATAATAAAAAATAGAGTGCATTCATGCAACTGTAGAGCTAAACATCTGCCGAGTGAATTTACAATGGATGTTAAGTACCCTGAAAAACATAAACATTGAAAATGACAATTTTTAATGCTTTGGTCAAAATTAAGTCTTGAGTTTTACAAGAAAAATATGAAAAGTGAGGCACTAACATGTATCTCAATTCATACAAAAAATTGTGAGAATGCTATATCCTGGCAAAATAAGTGATAAATAACTACATGGGAGAGTATCTACAATAATTTCAACATTATAAGGATGAAGCATTTCTATTGAAGTAAATACATGTAGCTCTTTGACTTTTTCGATGTTATTCATAAACATTTGTGAAGCAATAGTACTACTGTGCTCAAACCCTTGCCATGTTATGAAACAAAGGAAACTCAAAAAAGAAAAAATAAATCAAATAATTATGCTTAAGGCTAGGAGCATTTAAATCATGAAGTGTTTGGCAAAGCTGATTGGCAGAACTTCGGAGGATGGTTCGTGGCCTTGATCAAGCTGTCAGAATAAACTTGTCTTCTGCCTTAAGTTTTATATCACCATGGTATCTAGCATAACCTGAAACAAGTTGATAATCAACTTGCACGTAGTTCAGTCGAAAAATAAATAGTCTTCATGTCTCTTATCTGTTTATACCAAAACCTTTAGTTTAATTTTGAATTTGCTAAGTCCAAATTTACAATTAACAATTTTCAAATTTTAATTGAAAATTTTCTTAGTCAAAATCAAGTTTTAGTTGAATTATATTAGGAGTTTATTGAGTTGTAATCAAAATCAAAATAGGATTTATTGAGTCCTACTTGTGGTAAAAATAGTTTGGGGTTGGTAATGTTGACCTATGGTTGACTTCACATTTTGATTATAACAAACAAACTACTTATCACTAACAATCGCATTTGAGTGATTATAGAAATTATGACAAAGCTTGATCAATTGAAGACAACAATATGAGCAAATGCAAGACGAGTTGAGTGACATGACAAATTCAAGACTTATACTTCATCAAGTTCCGACATTGAAGACATTAGATTTAGACTTCTTGAATTCAAGTGTAAAGTGTAAAATACTTTAATAATAGGCAATATCATTTGAAGCTCAAAATAAATCTTTA